GCGGTGAACAAAGACGAATCCATGGAAAAATTTCTGCAGTGAAAATGAATATCAAAATCAGCTAGTAAAGCAATGAATCGGGGTGATAGTAATTGTGTGACAGATAGTGCCGCACCTCCAAAATTTCAAGGTCCCGACCAAAGAATGAACTTCTGTTGACTTAAGCCAACAGAAGTGTCGCAATCGACTAATTTGTCGCACTTGCAGGATTCAGACGATTGTGCCACACTAGTTAACTGAAAGAAATCCACCGCACTGCACCTGCGGAAGTGACACGCCTGCGAGATGCAGACGATTGTGCTGCACCAGTTGGAGAAATAGACTGTGCAACACTTGCGGAAGTGACACACCTGCGAGGCAGACGATTGTGCTGCACCAATTAATGGAGAACGACACCTTCGGGATACAGACAACTGTGCCGCAGCAGGTGACTGAGAAATCGAGTGCACTGCAGCTGCGGAAGTAATGCGATCAACGCTCGCTAGGGTTGCGAGAGTGGAGTCGATAAGTGCGTGCGATGCTTGCTGCTGGACGAACACTAAAATTTTGTTTCGATGCTACTGGCACTGCTTCATATAATAAAACATGATTTTTCCCCCAATTTTACCCTGGATATTTGTTCGGTGGATCCAAATCATCTGTTAACTTTTAACGGTATGACCAAATGGGTACCGTTTTAAAGAGTTGAGGGTACCATTTTAAAGAGTTGAGGGACCGATTTGGTCCCTCAAAAGAGTTGGGGACCAATTTGATCTCTCACATAGAGTGTAGGGATCATTTTGGGTCTTTTCTCAATCTTGAATCATAGATGACTGCAAGATTTTCCAATTCAAACTCTTAAGCTATGTAACTAGAAAATCAAATTCTCCTTTAAAAGTCTTTATCTACATGTCACATGTAGAATGATTCATAGTTCTATATTCAATCTCTACACTAAATTTGTTCATAATAGTTTGTTTATTTTCCATTTGATCACATTACCTCCAACAAAAATATAATAGTTAGAGGTTGAATTCCTATCTTCAACCGAGCTAGCATAAATAGCATTTGAAATGCTAATTTGCATCTAAGAATGTTTCCGCAATCAAGTGTTCAATCTTAATTTATAACAATTCCTTGTCAAAAATTTTGTGATATATCTGAGAATTTATAACATCATCCTATTATTTTTGTTTTTGAGTTGATATGTGTTGGTTAGCAACTCCAAAAGTGAATGAAATATCAAGCCTAGTGATAGTCAGTTAAATTAAATTTCAGACTAATCTTTAGAACCTGTATAGATCATCAAGGAGCTCTTCGTTTCATAAGAGTTTATTGAGGTGTTAATAGATTTGCAACTTAGAAGATCAATATCTTCACGAAGGTCAAAATTATATTTCCTTTGAGAGATAGATAGATAGAGAGAGAGAGAGAGAGAGAGAGAGAGAGAGAGAGAGAGAGAGAGAGAGACTCCATTTTGCTATATAGGCAACTTCAAACTTTAGGAATGACTATCCTAGATCTTTAATGAGAAAGCACTTTTGCAATTAATGTATTGGTTGTTTTTGCTAACGATAGTATTAACTGCTGTTAAAATTCTCTCAACAGGTACAAAAGGGTTGTCCTTGATAATGGGCTCACGGTGATGGTATGTTGTAAATCTTATGCTAAAATACTCTTTATTCAATTATTCAAGCCCTTTTCATACCGTTTTATACAACTTAGTCACGCAACGTGTAATTTGGCTGGTTATTCCCCTATTTTGTCCTTTAATGACATATTTTGTTTCAACTTGCACAGCTGGAATTGCATCAAATTTCTGTAACAAACTGTTCTCTTTGAATTGAATTATGTGAGCTTACTTTTAAGATATTTTCATTTATATTTATAGCGGACTGACAACAAAGTTATCAATTAGGTAATTTTTTGTGTTATAGAAAGATTTATGAAAGCTTGCTATTATTGCTAAGAGGAGATCTGTAATTAAGTCTCCACTTGCGCCATGCTAGAAGATAACATCAAAGCAACACTCAAGCTAAAGATGAAATAAAAAAACACTCAGAAATTATTATTGAAAGTTGTTTCCTACATGCCTCATGTTTCCCTCTATTCATAATAACAAAATAATGAAAATCAGAGAAGTTGGCTATCCAGGTCGAGCAGAAATCTCATCATTGAAGATACGTGCAGGTAAGGCTTGAAACATGAGTTATCACACCTGTAGATATCACACGAGGAAACATTGGTCTTAGGCATGTGATGAGTTATCAGTTATGGGATGGGTCATATTGAAAGCCATGAAACAGAAGGTTTGCACCAATACGACATTAAGAAAGCCTGAACAGGTAGCATGAAACAAAGGATTGCAAACTTTAGACACGACTAAGGTAGAGAAGGAAGTTGTGCAGCAAGTAGTTAAATACTTAAATACCACACGCAACACCCTATGAAAATGAATGGAGAAGATATGCGCATAAAGCCGATACCAAATAGTTGGGATTGAAGATGATAATCATGATGATGGTATTACTTAAGGGCATCTCCAACCAAAAATTTCGTTTTTCACTCTAAAATGCGGTGAAACTCAAAAATGTCATGATTCATCTCCAATTGAACTCCATTTTGCGGGCTTCTGCGAAGGTAACCGTCTTTTTCCTCTTTGGCATGTTTCTTCGGCAAATTTGGTTGAGAGAGAAAAATCGCGTGGGTGAATAGTGCAACGCCAATATTTGTTGTTGCACTGTCACCCACAAGCAAATAACGAAAGATTTGACGTTCGGCTAGAGCGACCAAATGACGTCATACGCATGTTTGACGTTCGGTTCGAGATGAATTAAGTGGCAATGCCTATAGTTTCCCATTCATTGTTATTATTATGGTGGATATTGATGATTTGGCGCGATTTGGCGCCTAATCTCATTACCCACATGATTATGTCTTCATATATCTTGATATCCATTGTCTGCTTGACATGAATCTTCCATGAACTATAAGATGGTCTATTGATAGAAAAAAAAAAAATTCCTTGCTTGTTTTCAGTTCATGCATGTTAACTTAATTAAATGAACATACAAATTCTTCATGAAGTCATTTCTTAAATATTGTTTGATATCTAGCCTCTAATGTACTAAGAGTCTATGGTGTGCGAACACAAATTGTATGAAGCCGTTAAACAAAGTTTGGATTGGCATTTCATATACTCTTTCTGTTTTAATGGATTGCCCTTCTCCTCAGGTGCCACCTTTTATTGAAGCTGGTGATGAAATTGTTCTTAACACAACAGAGGATAAATATTTGGCCAGGTAAGTTGCTATATCTAAAAATATATGTATTCTAGTTACGCTATATTTTTAAGAGGCATGAATTTTGAAAACATCTAATTAAGGTTTCGTTTGGAACAGCTTTCTTATTGCTTTTTAAAGCAGTTTTTCTAGTACAAAATTTTGTTTTAGAAGATAATAAAAAAGCTGTTCCAAACGAAGCCTGAATAACCCTAATATATGATGTGGCGTATCATAGTACCAGAACATTCCGGTGATATCATTACCTTGCTTATGTTTCCACTACCTTTTTGCAGCTTTAGTTAGTTATTGCCTCTCTGCCAATTAGTGGCCAGCTCAGCATTTAGTTCCCCTTTTAATATTTTCTTTATTCGAATCAGCTTATGTAAGGCCTGGAGTTAGCCGGGTTCAGTAGAACTTTTGAATACAGCTACAGTGAAATTACCCTCACTTCCTCTTATTCTTCTCCTTCTTCTTTCTTCTGCTTGCTCTGCTTCTCTTCCCTTTCCTCTGTTTTGCAGGTTAATCCGGTTTTCACACCAATTGGTATCAGAGCTCGGCTGTGATTCCAATGGCCGAAGGAAGCAAACGGACGGTGGAGGACGACCGAAGTCTGGAAGCGCTATGGACTGCTCAGAACAGTATGGCTCGACAGATGGAAGCGTTAACCACAGAGTTCTTCCGATTTTCTGCGGAAATGAGGACGGAGATTCGATCCCTGCGGACGAATCCACCAGCGGCTGCAATACGGAGGGCAGTCGCACCGGCAACCACACCGGTGATGCGCCCACACCGTGGCCGAAGGCTTCCTACCGCTGTTCCAGTGGTATCAGGATCTGAAGACGAAGAAGGCGTCCAGCCACAGTTGGAAGTATCGGACTCAGCCGAGGAAGATGAACCAAACTTTTATGAACAGCCTCGCCGTTACCTCCCACCGCAGCGACAGAATGGAGAATTTCGCATTAAACTGGACATCCCCTTCTTCGACGGTCGCTTACACATCGAGGACTACTTGGATTGGGAACGTGCTGTTGAAGCATTCTTTGATTACATGGAGATCGCGCCAGAAAAACAGGTCAAGTACGTCGCGTGCCGTCTTAAGGGCGGAGCGGGAGCGTGGTGGATGCAACTTCTACAGTCCCGCCGGCGAGAAGGCAAAGGGAATGTCTCCAGCTGGTATCGGATGAAGCGACTGCTCAGGGGGCACTTCTTACCCACTGATTTCGAGCAGATGTTATACGTGCAGTATCAACATTGCAACCAAGGCGCTCGGACTGTTAGTGAGTACACTGAGGAGTTCTATAGGTTAAGCGCACGGAATAACTTGAACGAATCTGAAACACAACTAGTCGCTCGATACATTGGCGGCCTTAAGGAAGCTATACAGGATAAGCTTGAAATGAATTCGGTATGGACGCTGTCTCAGGCGGTTAATTACGCCCTTAAGGCTGAAATTCAGCTCAACCGACAACCGCGAGGAACTACTGCTCGGAAAATCATTACAGACTCGAGTGGGGAGGCGCATAAATCACCAGCCGTGGGCGGACACAAACCTACAATGCCATCCTCTGGAGGACCTGGTATTTTGGGGGCTGAACCAAAACCACCATTGTATAACCGTCAGAAGACGCCAATGCGGGATAACAATCCATATGCGAAACCTGTGACGCTGAAGTGTTATCGCTGCTTCCAGCCGGGACATAAGTCTAATGACTGTCCAAATCGGCAGCAAGTGCAGTTACTCGAAGGGGAACAAGGTGAGGAAGATTATGGTGCCGAACAGGTGAATGAGCAAGACTTCGAAGACCTTCAAGCTGATGATGGTGAACCACTCGCCTGCGTTATGGAGAAATTGCTAATAGCACCCCGTCAAGCAGGTGTGTCCCAGCGGCATTCTATCTTCCGAACCCGATGCACCATTGGCGGCAGCGTCTGCGATTTGCTCGTTGACAGTGGGTGTACCGAGAACATCATCTCTCGGTCAGTGGTGCAGAAGCTTCACCTTAAGACGACGCGTAATCCCCATCCTTACAAGATCAGCTGGGTGAAGAAGGGTGTTGACATAGCTGTAACTGAAATGTGTCGAGTCACTTTTTCCATAGGCAAAAGCTATGTCTGTGAAGTTCTATGTGATGTCTTAGATATGGATGTCTGCCATATCATATTAGGACGGCCGTGGCAATTCGACATGGGTGCGGTGTATGACGGGCGTGCAAACACTTATACCTTTGAATGGAAGCAACGCAAAATTCGGCTGTTGCCCCGATCAGTTGTGGACGGAGACAAAGAATCGCCTGATAAATCCACCATGTTTGTGGTTAGCGGGCCGAGCCTTTTAAGCTCTTGGAAGGAATCATCCTGGATGCTGGCTTTGGTTGCGTCGACCAGCCAAGCAAATGCAGGGACTGCAGATTTTCCTACAGCCGTCCACGACATACTTCAGAATTACAAAGATGTGTGGCCAGAAGCCTTACCAAACGAGCTACCTCCGTTACGAAACTTGCAACATCAGATTGATCTCCAACCCGGTGCCAATCTTCCAAACTTGCCGCACTACAAAATGAGCCCACATGAACACGAAGTGCTCCGAGGCATTGTCGAAGAACTACTTCAAAAACAGTTGATTCAGCCAAGTTTCAGCCCTTGTGCCGTCCCCGCCCTGCTTGTACCCAAGAAGGATGGAAGTTGGCGGATGTGCGTTGATAGCCGAGCTATCAATAAGATTACCACAAAATACCGCTTCCCAGTGCCTCGCCTCGAAGATATGCTGGATAAACTCACCGGAGACACACTGTTTTCAAAGCTAGATCTTCGAAGCGGCTATCATCAAATCCGTATCCGACCCGGAGATGAATGGAAGACTGCATTTAAAACTCGGGATGGATTGTTCGAGTGGCGTGTCATGCCGTTCGGACTGTGCAATGCTCCGGCGACGTTCATGCGACTCATGAATGAGATACTCAGACCCGCCCTGGGGAGGTATTGTGTCGTTTATTTTGATGACATCCTTGTCTTTAGTCGTTCACTAGAAGATCACTGCACTCACCTCTCTCAAATTCTTGACATTTTAAGAGAACACAAATTGTATCTTAATTTAACTAAGTGTGAGTTCGCCAAGAGTACCGTCCATTTTTTGGGCTTCATCATCTCTAGCCAAGGCGTACACGTGGATCCTCAAAAGATTCGTGCTATTACTGATTGGCCAACTCCACGTTCCGTGACCGAGGTTCGCAGTTTCATCGGACTCGCCAACTTCTACCGTCGCTTCATCCGCGGGTTTAGCATCATAGCCGCACCACTTACTGAATGCCTCAAAGACAAAACACTGCAATGGACGATAGATCAAGAGCGGAGTTTCAAGACCCTTAAAACTGCACTAACGACAGCTCCTGTATTGGCTATGCCTGACTTCAACAAACCGTTCCATGTCGACACCGACGCTTCATCTATAGGCGTGGGTGCAGTGCTCGCACAGGATGATAAACCTTTGGAATTTTTCAGTGAGAAGCTCAGTCCAGCTCGTCAGAATTGGTCGGCATACGAGCAGGAATTCTACGCCGTCGTCCGGGCCCTGAAGCAATGGGAACATTACCTGTTACACCAGGATTTCGTCCTATGCAGTGACAACCATGCCCTTCAATTCATTAATAGTCAAAAGACTATGAATAAGATGCATGCGAGATGGCTAACATTCCTCCAACGCTTCAGCTTTGTACTCAAGCACAAATCTGGGACCCAAAATCGGGTAGCCGACGCCCTCAGCCGCCGCACGGCATTGATCACTCAGTTACAAGTTGACACACCTGGACTAGAAGCTCTGCAGGAGTTATATGAATCAGACAACGATTTTTCTGCTGCCTGGAACAGCTTGATGAGCAACCCGCCTATACCGTTTGCTGACTTCTCCATTCGACACAACTTTTTATTCAAAGGGAACCAACTCTGTGTTCCAGCCTCCTCTTGGCGGGAACATTTAACCAAAGAATTGCACAGTGGTGGCCTAGCGGCACATCTCGGCCGAACAAAAACGTTGGAACAGATGCAGAGCATATTTTATTGGCCACACCTCCGTCGGGATGTCACACGATTTGTGGAGCGATGTCCTATTTGTCAATTGTATAAAGGAAATGCACAGAATACTGGATTTTATACACCGTTGCCTGTTCCAAATTCAATTTGGGAAGATATCAGCATGGATTTCGTGTTGGGCTTGCCGAAAACCAAACGAG